TTTTTTTTTCTTCATTGTTTTTACTTGAGTGTCCACAGCTTCTGCAGCTGCAGCACATCCCCCAGTGAGGAGCAAATGTAGCACAAGAAAAGATGAGTGAGGATAGGATTGATGAATGCTGCAGAGCTGTTTCTGTCAGTGTCAGGATGTCTGGTAATATGACCAATTGAGTTATTAACATGTTAGAAAAGGCTAGATTCTTGCATATTATATCTTCTGTTAGACAAAAGTTTAAATTTGATTTCTTACTGTCCTAAGGGCTTGTTTTAAGCTAACAATCTTCTTAATCAAATTTGCTAAGAAATTTGAAAGGATTTAGATCCAATAAGTGGGTTCTGAACTGGCTTCAGATTTGATAAAATGTTATTGACCCCTATTCCGGCAGTCTTCAAAAGGACCTCATTTCATCACATTACCTTCCAGGACCAGTAACTGCCTCGCAGCCTCACAGTCTGAGAGCCATGCATCAGCCACAGGGTTTGGAAAGTTGCCATCATCTTTTTGTCTAATTAAATCTGTTTTATGAGTAAACAGCAGCAGCTCCAAGCAGAGAGCCATCAGAGAGGTTATGCCACATGATCAGCCTGTGAGCTGGATTACCAGACCTTCACAATGACAGCAGTCAGTGAAATCTCTTGCTCTTGATGTGCAGGTGTGCTGCATTAGGTCAGATCTGCTGAGCTTTATAAAGAATTTCCCTGCTTTTTATGCAGCACCTTAGCAAAGAACCCATTCACACTGGGCAAAGATTAGCTTCAAACTGACTTTTTAAGATACCTTTACATTTTATACTTTTGTTCAAATTGCACAGATGGGTTTATTGGTATTCATATTCCACACAGACATTTTGTAAACTCCACTGTGGAATATGTCTTGCTCACTGTGAGCATGGGGTATGGCAGATGTGTGGTTTTGCAAAGACACTGTAAATCAAACATAAAGTTCAGATGCCCAAACATACTGTATATCAAACTGCTCTTAATAAAAAAGGCCCATCTCTCTTGCATTTTCACAGTGAATAACTGAGACTGCCCTCCAGCAAAAATGTGTCATTTGTGCCAACAACTTATTATGAATGCCAACTATGTTTTATTGTTTGGCTAGTGGTCATAGTGATTGGGACACAAGTAAAGGAGGAAACTGATGTAGTGTACAGTATATAGTTCCAAAGTCAGTTTAAGAAGCAGCTTGAGGTAGATGGATCAGTCAGAAAACATAGCATGTTCCCCCAGGAGACTACTGTTTGATTCTTATGTGAAACATTGCAATTTTTATTCATGACTGTTCCACAACATTATGTATGTGTTTACTATAAAATTGTAACTATGATGATGAGTGTCCTGTAACCCTAAGGAAGCAGGTATTTTAACCTAAACCATGATTGTTTCCTAAACCTAACCAAGTAGGTTTTGTGCCTAAACCTAACCAAACTGTGACTGTTCTGTAAATGTAACCATGAGTTAATGGTGGTTTCCATGTTGACAGTGGTCCATGAGATTGGATTATTTACACAACTTCTCAAAAGATACCAGTCACTGGGGAAGCCAGTGATCCTGAAATTAACATTTCATGATAGCTAGACTGAAGAGATGGCCTTTTTGACTGTGGACAACATAGCTATTTCTCAGCAGTGCTCTCCAGCTGTTAATGCTGGAGCTGGTAAGTTTATTATTGATTTTCTGGCAGATGCCACAAGCTGTAGCTGACTAATGTGCTTGGCTTTCAGTAGACCCCACAAAGCAGAACTCGTCATAAATCAAGTCATCTGATAATGGAGAACGTTGACCTTCTAATTTGTAATAAGCAGAGTGCATCATTGTCAAGGCAAGAAAATGCACCCCTTGCTTTTTCTAATCTGACAAATGGTGCGTCAGCAAACGTCCCTTTAATACTAGGGTGCAATGGGGCGAAGACTGGCGTAGAAGAGGGAGTGAGACTATGTGACATAAACAGAGCAAAGACACTAGGAAATGCGAATCACTAACAACTGACAGCCAAAAGTTTTTGGTGATTAAATATCAAATATTTTGAAAAAGAGTTGTGCGACATGCTTTGAGGTTAATGTATTAAATACCAACGTGGATCTTTGTCTCTTATTCAGGAAAATAATTGCAGCTTGAGGGGTTAGTCTCACAGCTTTCAAAATGTCATGACACATCAAACATTTTTATCTTGTCAAGTACAATAATAGGATAACCTGCAGTGAAAAGAGCTGTGTTTAGTGGCAATACATATATTAATGATTTCATTGTTAATACTGATATTATTATTTGTTTTATGTCTATAGTTGTTTGATCTACAGCAGAAAACACCTTGCAGCTGAACTTGGTGCGAACTTTGAACTATGAACTTTGGGGCTGATTTCAACACTTCATAAGGATTACAGTGCAGATTTAGATGATAACATAAAGCCTCATGGTAACATTTTAAATAACTGCTGTAGGCCTATCATTCATACTATCTTCTTTGTACACAAGGTTTTAGCTGGCAAAGCATGTCACGCGTGTCCTACTTATCAGATAACAGTCACTCCCAGGCCTTTGATGGCATCAGCTGAAGCAGAACAGGCAAAAGAAATAAAGGATCAAATTACTGCTGGGCTTCACTTTGCCGAATGTTGCGTCCTATTCTTTTGAACCTTACAAGTCCTTTTCATATTAAAATTAAATTGAGGCATTTTTTCTGTTCTACTGAAAAGTCACACACATTCAACAGCCTCTGTGGGATAAAGCAGGTCATAAAACAGCAACAAATGCTGCGGCTCCTCCTATCCAGCTGTGTTAAGTCCAAGCTACTTTCGGTCTGTGTTGTACACACAGCAGTAATCGTCCATGTCCCTTCCCCTGTCTAACCTCTATCCTTAGGCTCTTCCCCCTGTCTGATCTCCATGAAAAACATGACAAGTGTCTATTACATAAGAGGCACTTCTCTTTCAGTGTTATTTCTCCTTAATACTGCACCAGCTGGGCTGAGCCTGTGATAATTTGTCTCTGGGAAAGAGAAAACAATAATGTGTAGATTCACTCAGTCACTACAGAAATGAGTTATGCTGTTTACTAACAGTCACCAGAATGAAAGAGCATTGCTTCCATTCTCATACAAACTGTCAGCCAGAAATACTTTCAATACAGGACTCCAAAAAATGTAATAAAGGGCCAAATAATTTTTGATAAATGAATCTGTTAGATTTAATGAAGCCAAATATTTTGCCTGTTTAGTAGGATCTCACATTAATAAAACAAAACAAATTATTTCAGGTATGAACTGCTAATACCCTTGGCAAAAAGCCAAGCAGTATATGGCCTGTTTAGCCAAAACAAGTGATGTATAGAGGGAAATAGTATAACCATATCAGTGACGTGCGGTCAGGGGAGGCAGGTGAGGCAGAGCCTCCCCTGTCAATCTTGAAAAGAAAAAAAAGTTAACCATAAAATATAATAAATGTTAATATTTGTTGGCTGGTGTGTGTTGTAGGCCCTTTTGCCGTTCGAATCCGATGTTGAAGGAATTTTTT